GCGTACCACAGGACAACTATCCAGAGTCTCTACACTCTCACCAGTCCCAGCTGGTGGTTGTGGGACATCAAACATAGTTTTGAACACTTCGGAGTGTCTGGAGAGGAAGTCGCGGTGAACTTTGAAGGCGACAGACGAATCTTCTGACAACAATACGATATTGCCATCTGGAAACCAAGGGTCCCCTCTTTTAGCAGATCTAGCATTTCCGTTCATTCTCCTCGAGTAACTGTGTGGGCACACAACAACAGACGATGGCACAGAGATGGTGGTCGCTGGAAGAGGTTCGAAGGCGTCAATCTCCTCTTCACTCCCGACCGCGACTATCAATGTTACCCGAATGACTCTGAGCCTTGTCGACCACCACCACAGATACCGCAGAATATCATCTGATTTATATTGAACTATACTGATGTCGAGGACCCCTCGAAGCCCTCGTTCAAGGACGCCTTCTCGCGTTGGCACACCAATTCGCTTAGCACCTTCAGCACCTTCTGTGTCCAATCTACGAGTGTATAGCCATGGGTCGACTCCTGGACCTTCAATAGCACCCACACCAGTTTCCGGTTCCCCACCAAGTGTACTGACAACATTTGGAGGAAGTAGTTCTTCTTCAAGCACAACGAATCCGGAATCAATGGAAGGTATTCTTGTACAAGATCCCGATGCTGAGGTCGACACAGTGGACGGAGAAGAAGGAACTGCTACTGGACGCGTAGAGAACATTTCAGACGAGGAAGCCAAGAGGAATCTTAGAGATCATCTAAGAAGGACATTGAGTGAAAGAGATAGACCTATGGGTGTGTTCTGTTTTGTCATTGTTTGATATACACTCACATCCATTTCATTTCAGATATCAGTCAACGTGCTGCTAGAAAGAAGGGAAAAGCTGTTGACGTCGATGAACTCCAACCTTCCGGTATGTATGATGTATGATTTCAACACTCAACCCAGACTCATCGGATGACAATGGAAGTTACAAACCTCTATCCTCCCCGTCAATATTTTGTGCTCACAGATGCTGGGAAACCTGTATTCATAAGGTGAATCGATAATTTACATATGCTTATGTCTACGGAAGTTTGAACAAAGATGCAGCCGACAGGAGGATGAGGGGTCTGATACATTTACCGCGACTATTGGACTTATGCAAGCACTAATATCGGTATTCCTCGACGATGGTGATAAGATCCGTTGTATAAATGCTGGAAAGACCAGGATATCATTTATACTACGTTCGCCACTGTACTACGCCTGTGTGTCGTCATGGGGAGAACCAGAATCTGTGGTGAGTCCCAGAGTCGAACTTATGTGAATATGGCCGGTGACTGATGTTGGCAAAGAAAGACAAGGTTTCATCTTGAATACCTTCACTTGCAGATTCTCAGCGTTGTTTCGCAAGAACAGCTCCGTAGGATGTTCGAGCGGAGGAATTTTGACCTTCGACGGTTGCTTAGCGGTGCTGAACCATTCATGCACACACTACTGGCACGTATGGAATGGGATCTGGCTATGAGCACATCATCTTTGTATTGCCTTAAGTTGGAACCGGGATTGAGAAAGAGCATTGCTGATGCGTTAGTCCCAACTTCGAAGATCAAGGTGTGTGCTAGTTTGACATATTCCTTCAATTCCAATACTCTAACTGGCATCTGTAGGACATCCTATATGTAATTTTGATAGCTCAGGGACGAGTAGTCACATTAGTACGTCCGAAGAAGCATTCCATACATCCTTCAGGTAAGCCATGAAGTTGCTGAATTGCGTCAGAACTTTACTTGACACTAAATTTCAGACCTTCATATCCTCATCAACACAATACACTCGCCTTCAATTCTCAACAACTCAGCTTCAGCCTCTTGGTTACCGATTTGCCTTCCCAAATTCAACTCATCAGCGTTTGTCAATGCATATGTGACGTTTTTGAGGAGAAATCAACCTGAAGCCGCACCTCGCAAGTCGTCGGACGAGACTTCAAGTGATTCCCCGGAAGCAGATAGTGCTGAGGTTGAAGAGACGTCGACTTCAGAGGGTGGAGGGGACGGTGGTGAAGAATCTGAGACTGATACTACGGTTACGAACGACAATCCTTCTCCAGAGATTGGACTTGTCTGTGTGAGCGGTGCGGCCGACTTCGAGGCCGTTCGTGGATGGTGTACTACTGTTTCAGAGGTCAGTTCTACATAACTCTGTTTTTTTTTTTCAAAATCGGACATTTCTCATGTTCCATCTTAGAAACTTGAACGTGAAGGGATGATGCAAGCTATGGTCGACGCGATTCATCAAGGCAAGACATCGTATTTGGTGTCTGATTTGAGTATTCCTGGGCTTCGACATTTCTTGTATAAAAGTCGAGCGAATGTGCAAGTTAGCATGCCCGAATTTGAAGATCCCTATGATGACCTTAATGAGAAACGAAGGTACGTTTGACTCATCATTGAATGTATCCGCTGCTGATGCTTTGTTCTCTCTTTACAGGTTGATTACCCTGTATCAAATGCTTCACGATGCTATCCATGCCAAATCCGGACAAGAGAGCACGCTGAAATTGCAATATATTCGTACCGAGCGAGAGAGTGTCATGGGTTGGGTTAGTACTTTGCTTAACATCCTTGCACCTTGCATTGATAGTTATTGATTCTGTCTCCGTTTGAAGATAACACAACCATTCGAATTATACATGGCATTATCACCATTGATACCCAAGAGCGCTGCTGTGAATGCCGCTAACTCTATCGCACGATGGGTTCAGAAAGAAGAGAAGAGATTGTTTTTGAGAGATGCACCTGTATTCTAATCTTCATATGTTTCTCTATTTATCCTCCTTCTTTCGGTTCGTTATAGATTTTTTTCTTTAGTCAAGGGAAGACATCGCATACGAATACATACTATTACAAGATGAATACAGATGCAAAAAATTACATGCACAAGATATGATCAGCAAAGGGAAAATAAAAAGAATTGATAGATAATAGTACATGGCTCATCAAACGCGTCGACCGCCGACATGACGAGCTGCACGAGGAGATTTCTGCCACTGATAAGATGAAGATGCAGGAGGTGGTAGAGGAGGTTCATAGCTAAGATGACGATAAATAAAATCATGCATATGCGTGCAATAAGTTCCCTTCAACTGAACCGAAACCGAAAGAACAAACATATCTTTATTCCTCTCCGCCAACTTTAAAGCCATCTGAAGGTTAGGTCTTTCATCGTTCTGAGTGAATGCTACTCGTTCATGAACGGTTTTCAAAAACCTTTCCTTCTGAGAATTCAAGTACCTTCGTAAAGGTAACTTGAGAGGTTTAGGTAAATCTTGAGGACCACCACCTGAATGACGAATAGAACCACAAGAAGGACTTCCAGGCATACCAACAAAAGGAGCGTAAGCGAAAATAGGCATATTTTCGATAGTTTCAACGGCATCGAAAAGTTGTTGAAAGTTTTCAAAATAAAACTCGATGAATCCTCCTTTGCCTTCTGCTCCTCTAGACCTCCAATGGTTGACTTGATCCCACATTTCTTCGCAGTAATCGGGCATTCCTCTAACCAACCACATTAGTTTAGCCATTTTGACTTTGGCTTTGGCGACAGTGATTCCTGAGTTTATGGATGCTGTTTCTGCCCAAGTGGAACAAAACTCTTTATGGGTGGGCCAGTGTGCTTTTTGGCACGCCTATTTCCGACAGAGGTCATTGTTAGACTTAGTGCATCCTAGCGATGCAGCTGATGCTCCGGCAATTGACAGACTTACTTTGTTACAATAAGGCATAGACCTATTCGCATCATTCCAAATTGGAATCTTTATAATAATATTTATGAACTGGAATACTCACTTGCATTGACTGCATTTTAGTTTGGCTTTGAAGTCAGGTCTGTAGAAGTTGTCGCAGCCAGGAAAAGAACAACTATCGATAAGTCGCTTCATCGAACGAGCAGGTTCTCTCTCCTTATCCGAATACTTCTCTGGCTCCATATTTGACTGAGACAAGATAGCGAGGTATAAGCGGGACTGGGTATATGGAAAGCTAGGTGAGCCACCAACTCTCTAAGTCGCTGGTGGTTCTCTTTGAGGTTTAGAGACGCCCATAAGTCTTCGATTCGCACGTGATCGTTTCCGAACATGAAGCGCCCGCTGTGAATGAGCGCTATTTTCTAGATTCTGCTTCCTTGCTCAAACCATGTCATCTCTGCTTGGTCTCCGGATATTCTCGTCAATCCCTCAGCAATGTCGAACGCTCGTTAATAGAGCTGCGTTAAAGACAGCTCCTCCCAAAAGAGGTCAGTGGATTTGAATAAATGTGGAGTTTCGACTGACAACCGGTTCTTGCAAACCAGGCGGTATCACTTCACCAGAGCTATTCTTGAAAGCTATTGGAAGGTCTGCCGACACGAAAGTGACCGCTGAGTCATGGACAGACTTATGGAAGTTGAATGGACATGCTTTGAAGAAGTCTGGTGTTCCGGTGAAGGATCGTAGGTGAGCAAAATCGCTGGTTCAGGTGCTGCCCCAAATCCTCAACAGCCTCCAAAAGATATATTCTTTGGGCTATGGAAAAGTTTAGGCAACAAGAGGACCCTGCAGAGTTTGCACATGAGAGGAAGCCGAAGAAGAAAATCAGGGGGTAAGTGTAATGTGTATTGTTTCATATGTGTAGCTAACCCTTGCATAATCTAGACGAGGTCCTGCTGTTCAAAACGGCAAGAGGATTCGTTCAAGGCGACACCGGTGACCGATCTGGACGTTCTCTGCCACCATTTCCCCCATTTGTTCACGTATATCATTTCTTCCTAATATAAACTCTTCCAACACATGCATCAGAGCTCTTCTCGAACCCTCTGCTTTACAAGTAGCGGTAGTTGAACCTTTGAACGTAATAAAACCTGGTTTTGAGAACCTGTCATGCTTGTTTAGAGTCCCAGAAACGTATTGCTCGCTGTGTTTGCAGACTTTGTGCATTTGAGAGCTATAATATACTGGAAGGAAGTTTTTAATACAATCCGATATGGTGTAACGGCTAACATTACCGCCTTTCAAGTTGAAGGTTCGCGGTAGCTCGGGGTTCGATTCCCCGTATCGGAGTGTTTTTTTGGTTGACCTTCAGACTGACGCAGACGCTGTGAAAATATACTCCTCCTCCTCCTCCTGTGCGTCGGGAATGTATCCTTCAAGTCGCACAAGATTTGCAAGACCCACACTCATCTGTCGACGATATCTCCCAATGTCATTATCAGAGATTGCGGCGACACAATATCGCCCGACCTTACTTGCTAGCACACTGCTGGATGTAGAACGCGAGGATCGATGTGATAATTGTGAAGAGCGGCAATCCCCATTTTACAGACTGACCCAAGGATGCGTTCTTCACACTTGAGTGACAGGCCTTCACACCTCGTGGCGGGCATGAGGCAGATGCGAGGACCTCTGGAGAGATATCACAATATCACACCTCATTATGCTCGGGCGTTTGCGTGGCCTTTTATGGATATACACGTGATGACTTGCTGGATTACCCTGCTTTATTACCACTTCGTGTTTGCACCCCTCCAGGAAATCACACTAGACGCCGCGACTATCTCCGCTTTAGGCAAGTACGAACAGCAAAAGACAAAAGCATGCAACCTTTTCTTTGGCCCTTTCACAGCCGAGACAAGGACCGTAGAGACACTTTCCCTTTCATTATGAGGCCCCTTTGGCCTATAAAATGGCTCTTAATGTCTCCCTTCCAACCCATCACCCTCCCTCAACCCGCTTTCTGCGTTTCCCCCGTCCCTCATAAAGCCCCGCTTCAGACATGGATCACATCTTCTATCAACCTGATTTTACCTACCAATCTGACTTCTCCGACATGGTCTATCCATATGACGACTACGGTATCAGTCCTTCGGACATCACTTCAACCTATCCTACCACTCTTCCAAACTACCCTTCCTCTCCCGCGCTTGCACAACAACAGGAATCAGACTCCGAGTCTGACACTAGTTCCAACTCTTCTTCTTCTGACTCTGAGGAAGAACAAGATCATACTTCGTGGGGCATCTATAACGGTGAAGCTTATCCTACAAGCTCTCTCGGTTTAACGTATGGTTTTCTTCTATCATTCATTTTGTACCATGGCTCATGCGGACACCTTTTTGCATTTCAGTGGGGTCCCTAACCCTCCGGAAGACGCGCCTTATATGCCTTCCACCAAATTTCAACCTCCAACATTCGACTTCTCCAGTCCAGCTGGACTCAACGTGTTACCATTACCTTTTGATTCCCCAGTATCTACGCCTCCGTCCTACTCCTCTCCGGCTGTCCGGACCAGCCGTTTGAAGGCTGCTTCCAACCTTCAAAGTACATTTGAAGGTGATTCAGACGCAGACGCAGAGGGGGAGTCAGACGATGGAGGTAGCGAGGACGAATACGTCCCCTCCCCTCGTCAAGCCCCTCGAGAACGTCGTACTTATCAGTTTGCGTACAATTCACAACAAGGCTCTCGTTCCACTTCGGGATCTTCGAGGTCCTCTACGTCCTCGCCTCATTCCACTACTTCTTCCTTGGGATGTGGCAACTATGTCGCTCCAGGACAAGATCTGAGGTTTAAACGTACACGGCCTCGTCATCAACAAGCTTCCGCACCTCCTCCTGCTTCTATCGAACAGTCTTTCACCGGTAAAGATCGTTGGAAATGCCCCAATTGCGATTACTACCAAAAGAACCACCGCGCTCCTGACTTCAAGCGTCACATAGCTACTCATTACCGTTCTCAAGAAAGGGATAAATGGATATGCTGTGGCTTCCCCAGCGACGACGTGAGGCTGAAGGACATCGATACTTCGAAGTTGAAGATTAAGGGTACCAAGGAGCCTTTTATCTGGAAGGGCAAGGCGCTCATTGGTGGCTGCTTGGCGAGCTTTAGCCGCAGGGATGCGTTGAAGAGACATCTCGACAATCCTAACGTCAACTGTGTTGGAGATTTGAACGCAGAGTGGATTCCTGGTAACCAGAACTAGAGCTGGGTTTCGTGTTCTGGTACTCTTAACGTGTTTAATGACAAGACTTTCATGAGTACGTGTTTCTTCTTCACAGACTCTCATTTCGATCTTTCTAACATTGTTCTTTCGTTTTACAGTTTCTTTCTCTCTCATTGTCTCCTCTCTTCGTATCTCTCATATGCTATCTCATTGTCATGCTCTGCGAGCTTTCACTTCATAATCCATATCATCTTTCCACTTTCTCCTTTCCGTTTCATTTGTACTTCCTCATCGTCTTCGAATTCATTCTTCGTATGCTGTATCTCTACTTTCTCTCTTGCATTTTTCTGTGGACTTTCATCTTCTTCTACTTCTCGTTCTTGGTTCACTACACTTCATCGTTCATCTCATTTCATCTTTTTTCTTTTCTCATTCTTCTTCGGGCAGAGACATTCTGTTATACCCCTTCTCATTGCATTGAATCTTTCGGTTGTCACTTTCTATTTCATTGTACATCAATATCATATCATATCATGTATTTGGTTGTACAAAAAACGGGTCTCAACGAAATCGCATTCTTCTATTTTTCTGCCTTATTATCATTTATTATCTTTGCAGTGTCCATTATTATCAAGATTTTGAGTCTAAGAGTTCCGACAATCGGAATTGTGTCTAATAAAAGTAATGACTCTGACGAACTTGAAGTTAGTCATAATTGTTACTATCACCATCGAAAAGAAAACAAAGACTTGATTGTGTATGTCCTGTTCGCCGAGTCGACGTCTTCTTCGATACTGATCGACAGGGTCTGTCAACTAGGGTCCAAATTCTCAAAGAATTGACCTTTGTGAACGAGAAGTTGATCTCACCTTCACAACAGGGTTCAAGCTGTACTCCAAACATACGACTCAATTACAATCTTGAACAGGCCGGCGAGGACAAAGCGGCTTCATGAAGAAAATCAACAACAAAAAAGAAAAAAGGGGGCAACAGCCATCATCGTGGGCATAGAAGCCATATATTCTCATTCTTGTCGGGGTTGAGGGAGAAAGGGGAACCGAAGGCTCGCGGGGAATTGCAATGTGCTAGTGAAGAGTGAGTGAGTTCAATTCGAAAATGAAGAAGATGATAATAGTCTCGTCTCTGAGCTCAACGACCTTATCACGATATCACATCACATCTGTCCGAAGGTGAGTATGTACTACAATTTTGTAGGTACTAGGCACCGTTCTAAAGTTCAGAGGAGATATCATCCACGTTCCCAACACGAGGCTTGTCAATGTGAAGAGTAAACTCTTCACATTGCATATGCATACATACAGGCTACTTACAACTCTCGAATTTCTCCGGTATGTGAGGGTTCGAATGTTCTACGAGCCTGAGCCACTCGGAGGTTAAGATGAATACCGCAATGCTAGGAAGGTAACTTAGAATTCGTCTAAGAAGCTTCTTTGGTCTAATTAATTAAGGCAAGTCGTCAATATACGGGTCCGGGGTTCTAGGGAGATGAGTGGCACGAGATGACTTTTGCGATGATGACTTGGACGGTCTCAATGCTTTCTACTTGAGAGTTATCCAGTCGTTTGTGTATCTTCAGAGGAAACAAGAGTAAGTGGTATGGAACGAATGTACATTCGTCACATATCTGAACGAGCAGACGAGCTTAGAGGGAGTAGCTGCAAATCGAATATTCGATGCAATTCCTGACACACACTGCTGCGTGTATCCGTTAAATTAATAAATTAAACATCGATGCGTACGTACGGAACTACAAGCGGATATCTAGCAAACGAAGGAGAGATGGTGAAAAGTGAAGTTCTCGATCTACAAGTAGTGGCAAAAGAACTTTGAGATTTGAAAACGTCCGGAAATGTACAAGTACATGTCCGTTACTTACCGAAACACAGCCAAGGACCCAATACCAATGTTATGAACTACCATCATGCGGCATCTTCGGAAAGGAGTACATACTCTCTTTGTGATTCACCAAATTTGATTACTGTGAAGAGAAGCAGAAGGGTCAACGTGTGACTGAGGAAAGGATATGCGAGGGCTTACCATCGCCGAGTTTAAGTTCATAGTAACGGGAGACTGGTATTTGTTCATCATTCACGTGTGTTCCGTTCGTAGATTCTAGGTCAATTATGAACGGCCTATTGAGATTTGTATCAGAGGTGATGAAAGATTTGAAGTGTCAGCGTGCAGTGGGTCGAGAAGGTTTAAAAAATGTACGCACTTTACGACTGACTTTGAGTCGCCGAATTCATTCTTTTCATGAACTTGACGAACTGAGAGATAATGTGTTAAGTACCGGTTGGAACTGCTCTGAGAAGCAAAGAGAAAGCTGCGTACATTGTACAACGGCATGTTGTTTTGAACATGATGGGTGGTCAAGAGGAACGTCCACGACTGTCTTGTCACGTCCGAACAAATACGCGCTTTGGCGGTAGATATGTAAAAGATCTGGTCATAGTGATACCCAATGTCGTTTCAGTATTCCTATGTAGAATTAACAGAACGTACTTACCAACTTGCTCCTTCCCTTTAAACACATACAATCTCCAACCAACATTCGGTTTCCTAGCCTCGGGAGGTTCATGATATTTCAGCACAGTCTTAGTTCCATCGACATTCTTCACCGTTTTAGTTTCAGCAGCTAGAAGACCAGAAGGCTTGAAATTGGGTTTTGCTTTATCCTCTTCCTCTTGCGAAGGTGATTTCGAGCGTGAATGTGAGCGTGGCCTTGAAGACCGATTTCGAGGTGACGCAGATCGTCTTGAAGATCCACCTCTGCTATCCATGGCACCACCCCTCTCCCTTTCCTCGCCCCTTCTTCTATCATAATCTCTGTCATTATCCCGTTCACGGTCAGACCTGCGGTAATTTGAACTTCCACCACTCCGACCTTCATCCCTCTGTCTGTAGCCTGAATCACGGTCATATCCACCACCACCTCTCCTTCTTCTTCCATATTCATAATCTTCGTCAGCTCCCCTTCCTGCTTTCCTGTCGACGCAGTCGTCGTATCTGTCCTTGTCACGTCTCTCAGAAGAATATTTGTATGACGAGGATCTGGCATTGCCATTTTGTTCTGAACGGTTCGAGGGGCCAGGTGAACGTGAA